CGAAGTTGCCTGGCACAGTTTTTTGTAATCTTTCGTAAGCTCTCAGGAGCTTCGCATGTAGACATTTGTTGTATCCACGCCCTGCAGCTATCGAGTTCCAAATCCAGGAGATGTCCGGTTTCAACGTAGCTGATGCCTCGCGACGTCCAGAATTCTGGGAGACCGCTGTAGGAGTCTATATAGACACCATCTTCCAGATAGCCGTCATTCAGTCCGTATTGGCTAGCATGTTCATCACGGTAGCGAAAAGCCGTCTCTAATACAGCCAAAGAAAGTTCGCTGGCATCTAATATTTGGTCTGCTGCTTTTCGACCTTGTCTTGGTTGCTGTCCCTTATGTGGCCTGATGGCATTTGAAATCCATGGAACAATGTGTTCCATTCTGAAGGTATCATAAAGGAACCAGTGGCGTACTGGATCACTCTCGCCGGCGCGTTCATCCAATTTCGTTTTGAACTTTTCGCTCATTAACCCTATAACATGGGCCAAAAACGTGGGTTCTTTGCCTTGAGATTTTCGGGCAGCTTCCTCCAGCTTCCACATTGATCGTTGAGCTGCAAGCTTTTCGGCACTCCATAGCAATTCCCACCATGTTTGGCGGTCGAAGTTTTTGTTTTGTTGTTTGAGGAGACTCGCAAGGTCATCTATGGCTTTCGCTCGTAGCCTTAGATTCTGGTCCAGAGAGATTGCTGTCCTAGGGATAAATTGAGATGTTGATTGAAGCAAATCTTTGCAGATTTCCAGGGCTGCTTGCTCAACTTCTTTGGCAGAGAAATCCAAGCAGCTATTGTTGGCCAGGTTTAAGGGGTTATCCGACATCGTACCATAGAAAATAGCCTGCTCAAGCTTATCCTTCGCTGAAACTTGAGCGTCTTCCATATCACCCCCAGACTTTTTGCGAGGTGAAGCTGTGATACGAACAACACCAAATTCTCGAATCATCAGAAGGCAGCCACAGAATGATCCATCGTTGTTTCGGGCTTCGACTCCACTTCCCAGGATATCGTACTCCTTGCCGGAACGGAAGACAATAGAATCATACAACGAAGGTACTTGTTGGTTGGAGTCAAGCAGAAGGTGCGAAGTGGGTGACTCTTTGGGCACAGCCAACGACAGTAGTGTGACCGACTGGTTGGCTATAATGAATGCAGTGTCTCCTGGCGCCGGAAGAAGCAATTTCACGCCGGTATTTTCGCTGCTGTGATGCAGAGTGACCTCGTTGATTGATAATACATCGATATTCTCCGAAAGCAGAATCTGCATCAGACAGAGGTTTGTCGAAGATGCTCCTCGAGGCGGGGCTAATATAGCACATATGTGCCACGATTCCGGATCACTTTTCTGCCTGTCTGACGTGATATGGTTGCCGGGTGAGAATGTGAAATCTAGCACCCTAAAGTCTGGCTCACCAGCTCCATTCACATACTTCGGCCCCAGAAACTGGCACAATTCATGCTTAGCATCGAACTGCCGTTTCAGCACACAACCATTATTCCAATGTGTGTCCCAAACTTCGAAAACGCCGCTGGAGGTGGCAATTAAAATGTCTCGTTGTCCCCGTTGGCGCGAATCGCCGGCGCGAACAGCACTCAGGTCTTTTCGCCAGAATCCTCCGCCGAAAACATTTTTAATGCCGCCGAGTAATCCAGTCTTCACATTGTTCCCTGACGAAGAGCGCAGAAAGTTCACAATCACTGCTGCTTTCCCTTGTGTGTCTCTGAACGTTACATGGGCAACTCGTCCGGATGAAAAGGTGACGACAACGCCCGCAGGCTCCCCGTTTACAATGTCAACAACATGTTCACCCGAGAGTAAGTTGTGTATTTGTCCGTGGATACCAGAGGGCCTCTGTCTCGGCAATCCTAACGACGCCGCACTCGACATCGTTTCCCAGTATATGATTTTCCCTGAGTAAGGCATGACTATCATCAACCCAGGAATATCGGACGTGGCTGCCGAGAGCAGAACTCCGAAAGGCACGGCTTCGCTGGATTCTCTGCAGGGTTCGGGTATAGTAAGAGTGAAGATTTCCGCTGGAGAAGGGGAGGAAGTAGCCGAGTATGGCCATGTTATTGCGTGCGATTTGGTCATCGCCAATGCGTATTCATGACCATCCCCGAAGAAACACTTTATGGGCTCTGTATTCACAGGTTTGGAAGGTTAGAATGATAAAATACAACTCAGCAAATTTCTCTCTCCTTAGGTTAAATCCATTCAAAGGCAAGACTTGCCTGGGTGTAAACTTCGAATTGCCTCTGGGAGGGAAGGTAATTGAGAGACTGTGTAAAAATCTGTTTTTGACTACATCGCGGGGTCAGTGATTATTCGACCAAGGGATCAGGAACTGAAAGAAAAAAACAAACCAAAACAACCGTCCCATCGTTCTCCGTTTCTCGCCTTTCCTGTTCCCTAAGAACCCTTATTGGAATATCCTTCAGAGCGGCAGCACTGTGCTCAGCAGTCGACCTCAAATCTCCCAGGTTATTCGACGCATGCTCTTGGACTCTTTCCTGGGCAATAGAGCTGGTCTTGCTCAGCGACGGTAGCTCGTGACTGTCATAGCGCAAAGCAGAGCGCTGTCTTTTAGCCCTTGGCGGCTTGTCCGCATCATCAAGACTTGTACGTTGGCGCCTTCGAGTATTGCGTATAGAATCCGCTGATGAATGTGAAACCTTTGGAACGAACATTGTTTAATCTGAGCTGAATGATACGTAATAGGACCGAAATTGTAGTTTATCACGGTATCGTTTGAGAAATGGTAGAACAACAGAGTAACCGAAGAAGTAAGGATGCCTGGGATGGATCAGGGAGGTCATACACAAGAACTTAGGTGTAAGCTCAAGGGTCATCCGGTCGTGTATAAGTTTATCAACCGGACGTACATAATACAACGTTTGTCTTGCGAGCGGATACTGGTGCTAAGGCAACATCTTGATGAAAATAAGATCGCCATATCACGTGACCAAGCTTGTCATATATGGGTTCCGAACAAACAAATAGCTAGCGCAAACAAACCGGTAGCACCACTGGGGCGGCACAACCTTAAATATCTCCTGGTATAGTGTCCCTCATTTTCACTGTATGACAGAGGGTAACAGATATCTCACTTTCTGGATTTCCGCCTCGCCTCCTCTTAAGCAGTGCCCACAATGAATTTGACGCAACCGTAGCCAAGCCGTCTTGGAATTCACGTAAACCTTATTTCAGCAATTACTCTGTAGATAACCAACTGGACTATTGCTTGGCCGACTAGAAAAGAGCGCCGGAAAGGTACAGCGTATGGGGGCTAAGAAACCTGGTGTTGAGCAACTTCTACAATGCTCTTTCGCCGAGATTCCAAGTAACCTGGGGGGGGCATACTGGTTTTGACCAATTACTTAGGAAACCATAGTGCCCAACCTATACTGTGTAATATCACTAACCGACAAATAACTGTAGGTAAATAAATTACCCGGCTTATTAATTATTTACACGTGATGAAATCTTGTCCTGTCGTACGCTCACCCACAAGCATGCGTGGGTATATACATATATCCAATGGCATGGCACACCCTTCATTGTCTTGCATTTGACCTCATGATTTACAGCAACATAATGCCCATCAACTCGACTGACAGTGGCTTTGTAATAAAACAATGGGCCTCTTTTTATGAATATCAATAAGAAAAAGAGAAAGAAAGAAAATGCTCGCAGCTTTTGCTCAGTCCAAGTACACCTCAGCTCTCAGAGTCCCATGGCATCATTACCACTGTGTACGACATAGTCTACAGTATCGGAAACTTTATGGCACGGTCTCCCGCGCACATAGCGCCATGCGGACGGCGCTCTTTTTTCCTGGTAAGAAATCCCAATCTACCCAAACGTTAACCAGTGAATTAACATAGATTCATAGGCCATGGGGTGCAACGTGTGGGAATGGCCAAACCTTGGGTTGACGGTTTTCCCACTCTTGCCAACCGCTTTTTGGATGAGATGGATAGCACCTTAGGATTTCGTCTCTCTCGGATTATCTCCGAGGGTCCAAATTCAGAGCTTAACAAAACCGAGAATACCCAACCTGCTATAATGGCAACATCGATACTAATACTTCGTATACTCGAAGAGCATTATGGATTCAATACGAGATCTCGTGTGAACGTTACACTTGGGCACAGTCTAGGGGAATTTTCTGCGTTGGTAGCAGGCGGTTACCTTGATTTCAGTGACGCATTGCGCCTTGTTCGACGTCGTGCAGTGATCATGGCACAGTGTACGCAGCGTGTCCGCGAAGCATTCGGCGGAGATTATGGCATGGTAGCACTTGTATGTGAGCCAGATCATATGGATGGATTGCTCGCAGCCACCCGGGAGTTCCTCAACTTGGCACCCTCCGCTTGGGCGGATGATTCAACCTCCGGATCACCCTCTATCCAACAGGTCATGCTTGCAAATATCAACTCCAGGAATCAGATTGTACTCAGTGGGAGCATTGAGAAGATAAGGACACTCCTAATACAGCTTCGTCAATTTGGAGGTCATGATCCGCGTGCCGTGCGACTGAAGAGCGAAAGCCCATTCCACAATCCTATAATGGCCCCCGCGGCATGTTATATGAGACATGCATTGGAGCAAATAGACCTTAGTTTTCCTGCGCATTTCCCTTGCATATCGAATGTTTCCGGCTTACCCTTTAGCTCTAGGAGCGAGCTCAAAAGGCTTTTGTCGGAGCAATGTGTTGAAACAGTGAGATGGTGGGACAGTGTTCGATACTTAGATATTGAACAAGGAGTCAAGCGGTGGATTGGGATAGGGCCTGGGAAGGTTGGCAGAAATCTAGTTGGGAAGGAAGTAGGGAAAGTTATGGCAAAAGGCGGCGGTGTTTGGGCCGTTTGCGACCCTCGTGAGCTCGAGGCTATATTATATTCTTTGGAACAGACAGAACATGATTATTGAGGACTGTCCCTTATAGGAGAAACCATAAGCGCTAGGTACTATAATGGCAACGATTTCACTGGCTCGCGTCTTGGGCTTATTCGCACTATCACTTTCCTGTTGTTCCCGCGACATGGCGATTCTGGATATGGTATACGATGTTGGTGCACCGATCTATTGCTTCGCTAGATAGACAAGCAACCCCTCTAATCTATAGGCGATTTCTCATGCCCTAAAATTGACTCAGATTATACATTTGCTGGCCCTGCAACGTGAATTGTATATTATAAAGAACTTACGCCTGGCACCCAAGATTCACCAATCCGTTTAACTTCCGCGACAAACTTCTTATCGGTGATCTGTAAGACATCAGGTGCCGCGAAAGCTGACTTGGAAATAGGATTGTGAGCATCTGGGAGATAGAACGGATTTTGTAGCAGCCGAATGTATGCGGTCTGCAAGCACCGAAACACCTATAAACACTATGGTCAGTCCTGATTCTTATCAAAAGACCACGTGCTAAGGCTGGTACAGGTAATAAGGTCTACCAACAGGTTTGAGATCCGATTCTTTAACGGTAGGCCCATTAATTCCCTTGGTGCCCTCCATTTCAGAGTTTCTTGATTGGCCTAATAGGTCAATTATAACTAGGAATTTCACACCAGTAGTTGTCAGCCAACCGTAGGCTGCGAGGCGTTCATCCATGGCATAGAGAAGTCCTAGGTCTTGGTCTATCGACGTCTGCTTTTGGCGAATTTCAAAGATGTCCAGACATGAATTTAAAATGAAGGAGAAATCGATGTTATGGTTTCCATATGGGTGAAATAAGGAGATGTGCAGTGGGTTGTCCTTGAATGTGTTAGCATCGGCTTTACTGACCAGTAGCTGGACATGGAGAGGCAGCCATACAGCTTTCCCAATTACTCCAATGCAAGCAATCCTTGGTTCCGGCATTCTGCCCTTCTACTTCCTGTTCACCCGTTGGGGTTTCAATTGGACAAGTGGACGAGAGAAAGAGTCTTAATGCGCTCGCTAGAGGTGATGTATCCTTGTCCGTGGACTGTACACTGGTCGCGGGATTTGGAGATTTCGGAGCGTCTAATTTGGTATAAAACAGATGAGAAAGCAAACATAAGACCTTACACAGACGTCACTTAGCGAAAGAATTCGGAATCCTGTAGTCCCGAAACAAGAACACTTACCTACGTGGCTTCCAAAAGGCGACCAAGTAATCAAGAACCCGGGGCGATGTTCAGAGGGGTCGTTTTGCCGGATTTCCTATGCTGTTAGGTCCACTGTCCACTGTGCTCAATGCTGATTGAGCATTGAGAAGTAGTTGCAATACAAAGTAAATACTTGGGCCAGCCCAGGATTTGCGCCTTACAGAACTACCTCGAGAGTACTGATACCTTAGGTACCCTTGCCATATGGTCTCCGAGCTAACTACAACTTAAGCCGCTTAGTGCTCATCTGGGTCACAGAGGAGTGGCACTGAGCCTGTTAGCCAATGAAATGATAGCAAATGTATATTACGTAGATAATGTGTTAAGCTTGATACAAAATTTGTGTATTTAATTGAAATACATGGTATTACCTGCACCTTTGGGGGAGGATGTTGCGGCATTGACAATGTAATACATAAATATGACATTACAAAGAAGATCTTTGTATTAGTATCATTACACCAGGCACTCCGTAGAAACTCCGCTCAATGTGAAGTCTTCCGTGATACTGCAATCCCATTATTCTATCTCATTGCCACATTGGCTTCTCAAGTTACTATAGCCTCTATTGTTAGGAGATACCAATTGGATTTTCCTACAAAATTCTCTAGTATGCTTCCCTTCACTAGAAGCACCGCTTTGGGTGCTCGCAATGGTAGGTACCTATTCTCATTCTCCCCGGCCTGGGTTGAGCACTCACACACCGGACAGTGCGTCCCAACCTTATAGCACATAGCGCTCGAGTTCGACCGATTGCTCTGCTGTCTACCTCAGCAACCAAATCAGCGACAGCACTTGAGCAACATGGACAAGCTGGGCAGTCTCTTTCCGCATCTGGCAAGATAAGGAAGGAGGTCCCTCTCCCAAGTCAGGAAAAGAAAGAGGGTGCGATGCAATACGTGCTGTACGAAACCTTTGCTCTGCACTATTCGGCTTCTTATTCATGGAAATCTAATCACAAGTTATTAGGACTACGCTCGATCAAGTTGCTAATTGGGCACGCCAAAGTTCCTTGTGGCCCATGACATTTGGGCTTGCCTGTTGCGCTATTGAGATGATGCATTTATCTACACCGAGATACGATCAGGATCGCCTTGGAATCATTTTCAGAGCGTCGCCCCGACAGTCAGATGTGATGATCGTTGCTGGCACTTTGACAAACAAGATGGCACCGGCTCTCAGACAAGTTTATGATCAGATGCCGGATCCCCGATGGGTCATCAGCATGGGCAGCTGTGCAAATGGCGGCGGCTACTACCACTATAGTTACTCTGTTGTCCGTGGATGTGATCGAATTGTCCCCGTTGACGTTTATGTCCCAGGATGTACGCAACCCCTCTGACCTGCCTTTCATGATATGAATATTAGCTGACTGATAAAATAAAGGCCCCCCTACCTCCGAGGCGCTCATGTACGGAATCTTCCAACTTCAGAAAAAGATGAGACATACCCGTATCACACGCATGTGGTATCGTCGTTAGACGCGCTGTTTGAGCAGCTCTGCTCTATCAGCGGCCTGAAGACGCCTTATCACTATCAAGATATGCTACGCTGTTGCTTGTCAGTCCCAGATACAGTACCAAATATTTTGACACTTCTATCTTGTGCGTCTTCTGTATCACTATCATTTATCTTTTCTTGTTTCTAGTATGTATACCTGTCAATGATCTTCGTTAGTCCTTCCAACGGGTATTACTATAGACTGCAATATTGTCCAGTTTCTCCTTTCATTTATATTCCCGGTAGTTAATCTGTTGGCAACCTGGTACTGAAGGGCGTGTATTTCATATGACTTGTCAATGGAGACGCTATATATAGGCTTTTCCATCCGTAATCCTCAACAGAGCCATAACATTTATAACTATTCCTTTGTCCCGGGAATATGCTGATATTTCTTGACACATGTATTTTGCTGTTGCGTGGCGGTTCTTTTTTCATGACTTGTTCATTCGTCTGTTGGTCAGATGGCTTCTGTGGTAACAACATGCTCCAAACCCAAGTAGGTAATTAGCGATGGCGAGGTGGCAAGCGTGATTTTATAGATCGACTGGGAGCGCGGATCTATATCATATTGATTATTTCAGCAGCACTCAGTCAGTAATCTCTAATCCGCCTATGTATTTTTCATGGACCGGTCTATGGATCGCATGTTAAGTTGTTTCTTGATGGAAAATGAAATAACAGGGGATCCGATACTTTAATGTTAAGATACTGCGTAGGTACTCATCGGTTCTTTTTGATGGGACCAATGCAGCTTACACCGGCTGGTAGTATTTTATCAGGAAAACGCATCTAAGAAACTTGTCTCATCCCTGGGCACAGTAGGTCCGTCCTACGTCAGGTCATTCTCTAGAAGCCCTAGTAGATTCTCATGTCATAGATATGACGGGTTGGCCTCGTTAGAGTCTCAGCCCTTCTTTTAAGTCACGGTCTTGATTTATACACTCCAAATTCCCAATTAATGTTCAGCCATATCTTCTGTTGGCGGCCTGGCTGACACAGAAGCTTTCCTGTCGGCGATCCTATTACAAGTGAGATCAGATCTTGCTACCACTTGGTAACATGAAACTATAACTGATACTATAGATCCTCATTGGGTATATCTGAACCTCCCTCTCTGCGTTTCAAGACGAGAGAATGGAATTTATAGGGTGTACTTGGGAACTAGTGAAGTTTGAGTTACGTTAGCTATGATGCGTGTAGATAAAATTGAATGAACTTTGAACAGTATATCAATATATTTATACCTAGCATCTTCAACAGGGAAGTGAATTCGTTTCTAATGTCTCTGAATAGTATATTTAAAGTTAAAACAATGCATACACCCCTGTGCCCATCTATCAATATAGGTAAATGACTTTAATGATGCAACATGTGTAGCTCCAATAGAGTAAAATGATACTGTGGACTATTGGCAATCAATGTTCATAGAAAATATTCAAAGACACGATTACAATCAGAAATCAACTGCCTTGATTTATAATTTTCTGTTTACAAAAGCTTTGAAGCTAGAACAGAAAATTATAAACATACACATTGTCTGTTCAGTTCCCATGGAACTAGAAGGGTGTTCTTGAGCTTGACTATTTCCTCCGAAAAGGGTCATGAAACTAAGAAGAAGCATGAGGAGCATCGGAAGAAGTAAATGTAATGATAAAATAATCCAGATAGTCTATAGTAATTGATAGGTACTGAAGGAGTGTGTTTGTTATCACAATGACTCTGCTTCTACTTGCTTTTTATGTCCCAAAAAGAAACCACACATGCTGAAATTATCATTCGGGATATGAGTGATAATCTATGAATGAGGTTTGCTACAATCAACAATCTAAATACCACCGAACAGTTTTACATACATTGTGAGTGGCTTTTTGGTTGTACACCATGAAAAAATTAGGAGGGGTTTTTAGGTAACGTTTTGATCCTCGGGATGTCATGGCTGGAAAGGTAAAAGAGCGTTGGCTGAATGTAATTGCTTTACAAAGTCCCCGAAGCATCTACATCAAGATGAGAATAATATGTAGGTAACATCGTCTGTCAAATGAGTGGGCCTGAGTACTCTATCAGCAGCCTAGCTCTTTAGCCTGAACTGTTAAATAGTTAATAGATAGATTCATCGTCATTATTACAGATTTTCGTAATTCTGTACGGACCGCCGCTAGTACATTGATATGGTGTAGTAGGTAAGGTACATAGGTATTGTACCGCCTCAATACGATATTACTAGCCTGGTGTATCTATTTTTTTTTTTTTTTCCGGTTCTAAAAACTTTCTTCCCTCAGGTTTTGAACCCAGGCACTAGATATCTTTATCTTCAACGCCCAGGGATATTCAACATGACAGAACATGATTCTGGTCGTACTGACAGCGTTGCAGAAGTTTCTCGTTCAACATCAGCTTCTCTCAATTCTGCATTATCCACACCCTGGACCTTCTTTCATCCCACAACTGAGCTCCAAGCGTCTATAACCGGATTGGCCAAACATTTTCTGGACCCTCTTGCTCTTTCAATAAGCAAAAACCAAGAATTTCAGCAAACACAGACCAAAAAACGCAAACGGTCCAAGGCCGATTCAGACTTTGAGGATCACTCTTTACAATTACAGCAGCTCTACGTGGAAGGGTTCAGTCCTGAACAAATCTGGGAGCAAGCACTGAGAATACTTGATTCGGCGGATCGGTGGCTTGAGAGTGATTACGTCGAGAAAACTCGCTATGGACAACTGCCCGGACTAGGAAAGGCCGAATTGGACTATGCGACAGTGGATAGTAACAACTCGGAACATAGCGAATTGGCGAGTCTTCCAGATAGTCACTCCGATGGCTCGGCTACCAGTGATGAAGAAGCCGCCGAAGATTCTTACTCGGAGCTTACAGACGCGTCTGATGATGACAACTTGGATCATCATGAGGGCTTTGACGAAACTTCAGATGAAGATGCCGCCTCTACCGAATCTAGTAAACGTGGTAATGATTTCCACACATACACCGAGGACGCCTTTGGACTGAACGATGGATTTTTTTCCATTGATGATTTCAATAGACAAACAGACGTCCTGGAAAGACAAGACATCAAAGGAGGCACGGCTGATATGGAGAGCGATGAGGAGGATATCAATTGGGATGCTGATCCTCTCACTGAAGGCTCGGGGCTGGCCCCGAGGAGAGGAGCCACGCCCGAAAAATTGACGATGGACGAAGATGCTATGGACGACAGTGAGGACGAAGGACCGACATTTGATAGCGCCAACGTCGAGGATGATTCGGATTCATCAGAAGTCGACTTGCATAATAATTCACTAGAGGAGACAGGGTGGACAAATACCAGTGACATCAAATACGCCGATTTCTTCGCACCGCCTCCTCGAAAAGTGTCGGTCAAAGATTCAAGACCGTTGCCGAAGTCTCAGCCAAGTACAACAATTGATGACAACGACATTGACAGGGCAATTGGCGATGTCCGACGTGATTTACTTGAAGACGACGATGAGGTTTCCGGTGAAGACAGTGAAATTCCTAACCATGGGGTGGATGGCCCTCAAACCCAACGATCGTCTCATGAGAAACAGCGGGCACGCATCGCCGATGAGATTCGTCGTCTTGAAACCGCCAATGTTGCGAAGAAGGAGTGGATGCTTTCCGGAGAAGCTAGAGCCGTCGAGAGACCAATCAATTCTCTCATTGAAGAAGATTTGGAGTTTGAAAAGATAGGAAAGCCTGTCCCGGTCATTACTGCAGAAATTTCTGGCGACATTGAAGAGCTTATTAAACGTCGGATCGTTGCGAAAGAGTTCGATGAAGTAATCCGTCGCCGGCCCGGTGTCTCTGATACTCGAGATGCGAAGAGAGGGCGGCTCGATATTGACGACACTAAACCCCAACAGAGCCTCGCTGATATCTATGAGACTGATCATGTTCGAGCTACTGATTCTAACTACGTTGATCCAAAGAATCAGAAGTTAATCCGTGATCGTACCGAAATATCGACTATGTGGAAGGATATCAATTCACAGTTGGACACGTTATCCAATTGGCATTACAAACCGAGAACTCCTCAAGCAGACATCAATGTTGTCACAGATGTTGCGACAATCATGATGGAAGACGCCCAACCTACGACTGGGAGTGCTGTGAACAGCCTGGCAACATTGGCGCCACATGAGATTTATGTACCTGGCAGTGACGGAAGAGTTTCCGGAGAGCTTGTTTTGAAGAATGGGGCATCTATTTCTAAGGACGAAATGTCTCGCGAAGAGAAGGCCCGACTTAGGCGGCGGCAAAAGAAGCAGAATAAGGCGGACGATTCTCAACCCAAGCAGCAAAGCGCCAAAGTTGCTGCAAAAGAGCAAATAATGTCGGATTTGAAAAAGGCCGACGTTAAAGTGATTGGGAAGGAGGGCGAAGTCACAGATATCCATGGCAAACAAACATCTTCAGGGAGGAGGAATGGCGCAGATACACTGAAGCTCTAAGGCCGAGCTGTGTACTTGGGGGAATTCTCGAGCTTCTTATTGGGTTGTGGAATGTGGTTTTGCAAATCTGCCTGTATCTTCATTCTATTTATCTATTTAATCGCCTGTACCTCAATGATCGGTCAACTTCCTTACAGCCTAAAGTTACTGCGGTTGCTTCTCCAAAGCTTTCTTGTCGTGTTTGGGGCGGATCAAGTAAAGAAAAATGTTTTCACGCCCATAAGCCCCGGCCTCAGGGTCGTCACGGACTTCCTCAATAAAGAAAATCTTCTTTGCAAGTTTCATGAAACGAACATCGGCTCGTCTACGCTTTTTGAAGCAAAAGTAGCAAAGGGAGTTTGGTCCGATCAAATCTCGGAGCGTCGCAACCAAGAGAGGAAATGCCGGTTCGAAGTAAACGCAGTCCGCGGCAAGAATGATTGATGGATTTTTGGGTATGCAAAGAGGAAGTGGCTCCCCCCAGTCCAGTATTGTCGCGGTGACTTGAGAGGATAATTTGTTGAGTCGGATGTTTGTTTCCATCAATGGTAGCATCGGTGCTTGGTCTGTGATATATACTTGGGACGAGCCGATATCGCACCCGCGAGCGACAGCTAGTCCAACAAGTCCACCACCGGCCCCCAACTCAACACTAAAGGATATTAGTAACGAAGCTAGTTGGGAAGACGCCGGAGGCAATGGTCTGCACTGGAGTTTACAAACATGGTTCCCTTGAGATCAGAGCGATGCTGGGTCAACAGGTATTTAGCCAACACCATGCCAGCCGGCCAGAGTTGGCCCCCGCATCCTTCTTTCAGATCTTCCTCAAGAAGTAAAGGTTCTTCCAGAAGCCCGTCAAAGGAAACATTAGTACACCCGGCAGGTTTGCAGTCTCTCGGGGGAACCAATGCTTCACTGACATCGAAGGCTGGCGCGTCCGAATCAGTAACATGTTTGTAGTCAGGAATGAGACCTTCCATGGCTAGAGAACTTTGTGACTGCTGGTGATTACTCCAATATCTTGTGTTCTGGCCGAAGGTAGAGAGGGCGGCTAATATGGTGGAATTGGGAAAACTTTTCACCAGATACCAACTAACTAGCACTAGCTTCATGCTATTCTGAATTTCCGATAACCCACCCGGCCCCACTCCGTTATCTTATCTTATCATCCTCCGACTCGTCCTTCTCATCTTATACTCCGTACCGGGTACTGTAACTATGGGCTTTGATAACCTACCTACCTGGTACAATGCAGCTTGCTTTGGGATCTTACTGACTATCATCCCATTGGATTAACTAAATTCTGGATTATCCTTTCAGTCAGCAAGCATGCAAGCAGAACATGGGTGCCTCTAAAGTACGGGCTTCTTAATAGCTCAAACACTGGATTATCTGTAACAACGAGTTGATCAGATGTAATAGACCTTTACTATTTGGTGAAGATGATAATTTCTTGAATTCTCATGTTTCTGATTGTATATTGGTAATCCAATGATCAGAGATGCTCTTCAGACTAGTGATCGTAATTGTTCATACTTGTACTCGATTCGGAACTCCCGCTGTCAGCAATTGTCTACAACTACTGCTAGAGGAATCACGACAGGAAACAAGAATCGAGGAAACCGGACTCCAGCAGTGAAACACGTAGTTGGAGTGATCATCTCATTATACAGGAAATCTGGTCGATTGCGTAGGTACGTTCCTACCTGGGTTGTAGTAAGCTCCACTAACAAGTCTGCGGGTTGACGTCATTACTAGCCCTCCGGATCTTCCTTGCCGCACCCGTCAATCAAGTAAAAAGCTGTGTGATTGGTGTGCTCAGGATTAAGTCATATACCGGGACGCTGGACCTCATGGGGGTCATTGCCATGCTTTGATACATGTCGTTGGATCATGACGACGTCACTGCCGATCTAGCTACGATGAAGTGATCCTGCTCCCATTTATGGTCTAAAAAGGCCTTAACATCTCATCGTTCCTATTCCCTCCCTTAAGTCTACCCTCTATACTTACAGCAAGAGACAGCTAGGTATCTACTCCAATAATCAAGATGGCCACTCTTCACTGTAAGTATTCTTGTTGGAATATGCCCTACTCACCCTTGCTATATCTTTGGGAGTGCTTTGACGCTGAGATTTTTATTGCTAGATCTACCTCCCGTGAAGCCCTCGGCTATTGCCATGGGCACGTTCTTCACCCATACTGCTTCTCTCGGCATCCTCGCCCCTGTCTTTGGTGACACCTATCATCGCGCCCAAGCCGCCAACACCAAAGAAGAGTTTATCAAATCTAAAGAGGCTGCTGGGGCCGCGGCGGCCTGGGGTAGTTCGCTGGTCGGGAGTGCTGTGCAGACTTATGGTGTTGCAGCTTTGATCAATGCCACGGGCACCCTAAGCTACAAGGGTGCGGCTTATTTGGGAAGTCTGGTCTTTATGGCTAGTTCTGCTCCAAGCGTATGTATATTCCTATATCGTATTTGAATACGGAAGCTTACTCTATGATATAACAGCTTATTAGCCACGTCGTCGCCGAGAAGAGGCCCTTCGATACTGTTGCTGTAGGCTTGGTCAGCAGGGTGTTCGAGACTGTTGGACTGAGCCTCTTCCTCACGTGGTGGGGAACACGAACGAATCCCTTTGATTAAATGGCCAAACTGATACCTTGCGGTTGGTGTTGTTGGGAGTGCGAGTGTCATATAGTAGTACTCTTACATAGGCCTTTTGGTTCTACCTTATTAAATGTATTCAAGTAATTGCAGTATTTTCAAAATCTCATATCATCTAGTATTGAGTTTCAAGCGCTTCAATTTGAAAAGACTGAGGGGGTTTAAGTACCAATGTAATCGAATACAATAACCCAACCATTTTCTGGTCTCCCTCTTCTTCCAGAAAAAATCCCATACTCACAAGCGCCCATCTTGGACGATAACTACCATGAAAACAAGCTGGTGCCTGTCTTGTACAACAGTGCGACGCTCACAGTTGGGGGAAAGATTTACATTAATCCTGAACCCGAACCGGGGTCATGATTCATGCTGTCCTGTATCGACTAGACATGCAGGTGCACTCTAATTGAATGGTGTTTTAGTAAATGACGTAGACAAAGTACTAGATTATTTTTGGTAGGGAAATTCATGTCTTAAGGAGAGCCGTGATTGGTTAGATCTTGCAGCCGCCTAATCTGAAAGGTTTAAAGTCGTCTTTCCTGGACAGAAAATGGGAGATGGCGTCGTCTACTAGTAATGTTAATCGCGTATCCGTACCCATTGGTGAGAAATCACCGCGCACCTCAAGTCGGGGCGAAATTATAAAGGCAAAAACGGATAGAAAGAAAGAAAAGAATGCGATAAGAATGGAAGCTTAGCGAATTTAGGCGGAATATAGACAAGGAACATAAAAAAGTATCGCAAATACATTTAGCGTCTAATGGTAGTAACAGCCCAGCCAGGTGATCAAACAAACGTGCGGCAGGGATACCTTTGGACAAGAGTCAGTACAAATACGACCGATTGAGGATGAGGTATACATACACATCAGGATACCCATGATCGTGGTCCAATTGGTATTTAGTCGTCTCGGGAGCCAGGTTGCAAGGCATTGGTGGCAAGCCGTTAGCACCCAAAACGCTCTTCACACCCTTTGTATCCTTTTCGAAAAGCCCAGCCAGTCCACGCTCCTCCCCCTCTTGCTTGACAGTGGTGAGTTGCTTTTCGCCTGCCTCGCCAATCTGGAGAACATCGTCTTTGGGAGCCGCTTGGCTACCCACACTAAGCAGACCAACAACATCCGCCTGGTTGACTTTGCTGATCCTGGGGTAGTTCCTTCGAACATCACGCTTCCAATAAGGGTTGTCCGCGATGTCTCCTGCCGGAATGGTGACAGGGTCGTCGTACGACAGAGGGGGCAAAGCCCCGGGGGTCGGAAGGCGATACTGGGAGTTCAAGGGGACACCAGTAGAACGGTTCGGGTCCACGGAAAGCAGGCGACGAATACGCTCCCATATTCCGGTTGACTGAAGAGTGTGTTTCTAATCGAAGCTCAGCGACCATGAAATCCATACTCTGAGGCGAGATAATTCCTTACTTGGTTGATAGAGACCGCATTCGAGGCGGCCTTGGCTGCCTTCAAAGCGTTGCGGGCCATGGTCGTATAAGATCCTGTGTTGAGTTTTGTATCAGCATCATGGTAATTCCCAATTGCCCTGTATATAGCTATAGAGTTATTTCATAGTGCAAAATATACCTCTGTCAAACAGGAGAAGGTTGAACTCGGTTTAGTCGGAGTTATATCCGGAGGGCTCTCTGTGGTCCATCCTCGGATTCAAGAACTTGGTAACATCGGAATCGGGCTGTTTAAACGGATCAGCTATTATCCGACACACCTTTCTAGCGAATAGCACCCGCCCCAATATAATGATATGAATAGCTCGCATCATGGATTGAAATTAACTCCTTATGCAACTGGCTTAACATCTGTCTAGGTTGAGTACATTATTTCTCCATAAGTACGAAAGTTCCGTTGTCTTTTTCGCAATAAAGCCGGTCGTATCTTAGTGACGATCGCATCGCCACATCTTATACGGAACCAATATAACTCACCCAACCGCCCATAGATATAATAGTCATTATCTCAATCAAATAAAACCTCATTGTGGTTTTCCAAGTCCACCAATTTTATAGTTGAATTTTCGGCCATGCTTTTTTTCTCTTTGAAGCTTGGATGATCCTGTACAGTGAATTGTGGTGTGTAACCTGCTAAACAGTCGTACACATCTGTCGAATGCACCCCATATCCAGGATACATGGATTTGACTATCCCAACAAATGCCTACATAAACATAGATATTTTTTTGACTTATTGTAAAGCATCAGGCTTCTCTCTCTCGCCAGATTCGCCTGAGATCCTGCTGCGTAAACAGCTCAATACACAAATTGAAAAAGACTTCGATGTTGATTATCCGCCCCAGCCTTAAATACCATACCAACCTACATGATTCCTACATCTGCTTAACCGCTATTGGAAATCGTGGGTACCAAGTGCTGTACAGCTTCTAGCGTCGCAGCTGGACCACCGGCCTCCAGAAGAAGAACATCTCCACCCTTGCCTATAGCAAAGACACCCCTTGTCGTCCCTTTTGGGTGTTTCTTGAAACCCAGGGCTGAAATGAGGGTAGAATCACCGTCGCAGAGCAGGGTATATGGCAATTTTTGCTTGGTTTTGAATGTGGTGTTTGCTTTAGGTGAATCGGCCGACAACCCATAAACAGAGAGCCCGGCGGAAACTAGATTTTGGTACTCATCGCGGAACATGCAGACCTGTTTTGTACCTATTGGCTGTAAGTCAAATTCGACCAGATTTGAGACAAAGTAGACAGGAGATCGAAATACACCATGACTGAAGGTATCAAAAGAACACGCGCTAAAAGAAGCTACTAATGAAAGTGTAAACTTACAGCCTGGAGTCGACGCCCGAGGGTAGGTAAATATCACGACACCAGATTTGCTCGTATCGATAAGGCATTTGAGTGTTGTCTTCGCGCCCTCATTCGTCTCAATTTCCCCACCAAAGTCATCTGCAACGATCACATCGCCAACCTTGGGAATGGTCCTAGTTACAGTGCTCGAGGCAATCTCAGCTTTACCCGTTGGCTGTTTTGGTGAAGTAGTAGGTTGTTCTGTTTTCTTGCTTTTCTTTATAGGCGCTGGGGTTACTGCCGGGGCCTTTCGCTTTCGTAGTTCAACCATTTTTGTTGGAATTGATCACACTGATCGCACGTATAAAATGACAGATGGGGTTTATATTGGGTACTTGACAATCAATGAATTGCAAGAAGTAATTAGCTTGCCAGGACAGTAATGCGGCCATGCACTTAGTGATTAGTAGCGCGTAATAGTTGATTAGTACAAATTATGTATCTTAGGTAATGGCTGGGTTATCAACATGCTCGTGATGATCTGACTCGGGTCATGGCATTTGATTAGTATTCCTTCTCCACTGGCGCTGACGTCGAGGCATAATCAGATAATCTTCTTGAGGCATCGATGGTATCGATTATCCTGTCACAGTTATGCTAACAAGTTTGCCCCATTGGTTGACTAATTCTATCTTAAGAAAATAAAGTATATGGGTCTTTTGGCACAATGTAAGACACCTCAGTGACGGGAGAGGTTAGTGTGGCTAACAATAACGGTATTCTGCCGGAAAATCCCGACCCACGGCCGAGCCCCTGCCTTCTCCGTTTGCCCTGGAGCACATGTTACGGGAGGGGAGGAACTCAAACTAGAATTTTCTTTCCCTTTCTGGCCATTCCCACTCTTGGTCAATTGCCACTCACACGCATCCTTAACTGGCGCCCTGTACCAAAGTTGAATCATACTTATTTTGTAGTTGAAAGTTTGCCTTCGTTTCATATTGGTATATATTTATTTGAACTTGCATCCCATCACACCCGATCGCAGGAAACACACACTAAACAATAACCACATCGTCTTTCCTATATGTCTTTCGATATCTATCGGGTTTCCATATTGTGACCATATTCTTTCGACTACTGCTAAGGTCTGATCCGGCATTTGTATCGGAAGCCTTGTTTTAGGGTCCCGCCGTATCAGAATCATGAAGGTGTTCTCCTCGGCTTGCACTTTCAATTATTCTTGGGAAGAAGTTTCGACGGCGAACTGGCGCAAGTACTGCCCATGGAATGACAAGTCTACCCATGTTGTGGGGGTTGATACATTATCTCGCACGGTTGACTCCCAGACTGGCATCGTATGTCCTGTCCCTAACCTGGAAAGAGTGACTTTTTTAGTGATTTGTTGACTCACATGAGGATTTTAGTTACGGACGGAACGTCTAATCACCTGTTCACAATCTGCACCGCAATGGATTTCTTCGCTATTCGGAGGCGACGCGACTTCACACGTTTACGAGGTCTCGTATGTTGACCCGGTTTCGAAGAAAGTAACCATGTCCTCGTCCAACCTCACATGGTCCAACCTCCTAAATGTCCGAGAAACCGTTATATATAAGCCATCCATCCACAACCCATCTTCGATCACGGATTTCAGCCAAGAGGCGAAGATCACTGCGCTTTGCGGCGGGTGGCAGAAAATCAAAAATAAAGTGGAAGAGGCTAGCGTGGAACGATTCAGTCAAAATGCAATCCGGGGCCGTGAGGGGTTTGAGGCCGTCCTTGAGATGAGCCGGCGAGTTTTCAGCGAGCAACGTGAGCTGAACAAGGAGAAACTTCAAATTTGAAGTCTGACTGTTCGGTTGGAAGCGTTCTCGATACTGGGCGATGCTCCACCACACCACTCCATATTGAGCATTTGCATACATCGGCATCGGCGTTCATGAACCTTTTCAAAAGTCTCATTCATCTCGAGCGCACGGCGTGGCTTGGCGTTTTTCGTTCTCCTTCTCGGGTGTATTTCCATTATGACCTGTTTTTTCTGTCTACCCCATAGCATCTGTTGTCTGTTGTTGTTTTGCAAGCACGGTTTACGATTATGTATTAAGAAAAATAGATAGTACGGTGCGATCTAATAAGATATTAGACAGAAGCAGAAAAGAAGCGTCGACATCTGTATGCTGGTAGACCGACTTGTCACTTCGTGTGTACTCTTAGAGACGGGATTGTAAACAGCTACCACAGCACGAATAGGGTCCCATGGTTTGATTAATATTCTGATCGGATCATAATTTAGTGGCCTGGCGGTGTCGATCGTATGACGATCATATTAACCAGTAGATATATACACTTGATGAAACAGAGCATGCCCAAGACAGCCTTTGGCAAACAAATAACAGCACAATTAACCTATGAGGCCTCCCAAAACCACGCGGCTAACACCCGAAACTTCACTTTTAGCATTATTACGGCTTGCGTCTTCGAACTCTCGCACGACTCCCGCCACCATGATCTTTCGAAGTCTTGCATCTGCCTTGGAGAACAATTCGCCCAATGCAACAGTGCAGATAGAGGGTGTCGACACCAGAGACACGAGCCGTGTATAGCAGTCTATCAACACATCGCAAAGAGTTACGAATGTCTCAAAATAGTCGGGCTCAAAGGGCAATGACGGTGTCAGCAGATAAGAGTATTCTTCCCCAGGAAGAAGCTCTGAAGCCTCCGTGTGGGGGAAGGAGGCGGCAGCGGCAGCCGTAGTAGACGTGGTAGCATTCCCTGCAAGTCCTTTCAGATCCGATGGGTCGCTTGACTGCATGGGTAAGCCGATCTCGGTTGCAGAGCTGGCCCTTCTTGCTTTAGTGCCGGCATGCGCGGCACGTTTGAACATCTGTGGGATACGCGCTCTGGCTAATGTTGAAGACGAGCTCCCATCTGGTGGGTGGACTTGTTGGAAGGCTTCGAATTCAATCAGAAGGGCGTTGAGTGCCCGCAGGTATTCACCAGGTGTCGAACTGACGTCTAGAATCGGCGGGAGTGATAAACCAAGGAGGAGATAATTGATTGCACGACGGGAAAGCTTCCGATGCTCAAAATAGGGAATTCGACCGATATCAGCTCTAGAAAAGTGTACCGTGTTGAACCAATAAATTCGGCCCTCATGGCTGGAAGAAAAACAGTTTAGTAGTCGCTCATACTCCTACGCCGTATGTAGACGATTAAAAGAGTTGGCAATAAAGAATTGCGGGAGAAAGCTTACGCCTTTTTTAGGTAGTCCAGAGTAGAAATTCGTTTCGTAGCCATGTCGTGGATATGCTGATAGATTGCCGCAGCACTCTGTGGCCCGAATGCTCCGCTTCCAGCCGTTAATGGAGGAGGTATGCTGCCAGTCGTGACCTCGTGGCCAATACTGGATTTCGCGGTGTCCCTACGAGACAGGCTCGGGGCGAATGTGGAGGAAATCATATCTGCTCGTGGAGACTGACAGGGCTCTTTGCTGAGCAGCCTGCTCTCAGAAGGAAACCGAAGCACTCAATATGTGGAGATATGAGCGGCCAAAGCAGCTCGTGCATGTGTTGAGTTGTGGGGTATAGCAAAAGGACCGAAAGTTCTATGCGGAATGCGGGTGAGAATGCGACGAGACCTTCCTTGACTAGTCTACCCTTGGCCTGATAAGATCTCGTTCTCCACCTTACCCCTGGGGCTCGCCCATTGTCCTAAATGCAGGTTTTATACACCGTTCATGTAAGGGCTCTTAGTCAAATTTTTGGCTTGTTTGACCTTTTGAAATTTTGACAATGAAAAGCAAATACATAACATCAGGGTGCGATGACCTTTCTCTGTCAATTCTTCTGCTGTTTGGAAGAGCTTAACCTATACCAACCAACAATGGATTGAAACTCTTTATCGAAGAAAAAAATAAAAATAAAAATAAAAATAAAAAATAAATTAAACAAATAACTTAATAACTAAATAACATGGTATAACTTGCAAGTTATTACTATAGATCTCGTAGAAATTCACAAGTAGTTCCTTCATATCGATCACTTGTAAAACCATACTTCTTATGGAGACATGCATGGGGGCGTCCTCCCACACTACATAATTGAGGCTACCTTTCCGTATACAGTACTACGCTGTGCCTACTACTCTGTACGTTGTATGGAAATGAAATTAATCAGTTCTGTACAATTAATATATACCGAATCGGTTTTTTGGAGGTAATTTTCGTCAACCCGACAACCCACTACCGAGTCGCCGACCAGACTCCACCCCGGGAGTTATGCCCCTCACCCGCCGCCTCTCCCTCCGCCTCCCCCTCCTTACCCCCCTCCTTCCCCCTTCACCCCTCCGCCTCTCTTTTCCAAGTTACGTGTAGCCCGTCGACTTACAGTTCCTGTGAGAACCTCGATTTGACTCGACTGCCGATAGCACCATCTACATACTAGTACGCCGCCAGACAATTATCTAGGATGAGCAACCGTCCCGAAGAATCAGTCCCCTCTCCGGGGGAGTGGCCTGTGGACCCGCAGGAGGACATTCCTATCTCAGATGATAGAATCTGGGTCGATGGATGCTTTGACTTCAGCCATCACGGTAAGGCAGCATTCGTTCTTATGGTATAATGACACGCCCTAATCAGAATCGTGATCTCCAGGGCATGCGGGAGCTATGCTCCAGGCTCGTAGATTGGGGAAAGCACTCTATGTTGGGGTACATTCCGATGAAGCAATTCTCGAGAATAAAGGCCCTACAGTGATGACATTGAAAGAACGGTTAGTTTACATTTGTTGACTGTCCTTTCCTCCTTGCCCTTCGCCGCTGACACCGGCCAACGCACAGTGTAGCTGCAGTAGAAGCTTGCCGTTGGGCAACCCAGTGTATTCCCCATGCCCCCTACGTGACGTTTCTGCCGTGGGTCTCCCACTACGGTTGCAGATATGTTGTTCACGGAGATGATATAACGTCGGATAGTAACGGAGACGACTGCTATCGGTTCGTCAAGGCCGCTGGGCGCTTCAAAGTAGTTAAACGAACCCCTGGCATCTCCACTACTGATTTGGTTGGTCGCATGCTTCTATGCACGAGAGGTCATTTCGTCAAAAGCGTAAAGGATACACTTTCCGGCGCGGAAGGGTCCGGTTGTCAGGAAGAACGTCAGCAGTCCGCTGCATACCTTGCTCAGCAGATCCGTGATTATGCCACAGATGAGACTGGCCTGAATCCGGGGTCCAAAGTCTGGCTTTGGAGCGGGTCCAGCTCGGCCAAGCTTGACGACAAAGTTGAAGAGCCTGGATCATTTGAAACACTCGTGGATGGTCGGTCGCCCAGACCAGGGCAGCGAGTCGTTTATGTTGATGGGGGATTTGATCTCTTCTCTTCTGGCCACATTGAATTCCTCAGACGGGTCTTTGCCCTCGAGGAGTCGCAAGGTCGCGAGCGCGGCTGGTACGATGCTGCGCAGAGAGAAAACAGAATCAAAACTTGTGGGGAGGACTATCCCCCAGCCTACATTGTCGCTGGTATACATGACGACAATGTAATCAATCACTGGAAAGGATTCAACTATCCTATAATGAACATATTCGAACGTGGGCTATGCGTGCTTCAATGTCGTGTAAGTCGCAAGGGCCCCCTCCCCCACCTGGTGATTTGGACGTGTGTCTAGTAACCGACACATATCTAATTTGTCTTGTTCTAGTATATCCATGCTGTCATCTTCTCGGCGCCGTTTTCCCCAAGTGCACCTTACTTGAAGACTATGCCATTGGGTGTCCCTGATGTCGTCTACCATGGCCCGACTACTTTCATCCCGCTCACTTACGATCCATATACAGCGCCCAGACAAATGGGAATTTTCAAAGAGACGGGCACCCACCCATTTCAAAACGTCAATGCTGGAGAGATCGTCGAGAGAATTCTCAAGAGCAGGGAGGCGTACGAAGCGAGACAGCGTGCGAAGCTGCAAAAAGGCGCCGTGGAGGAATCTGTGCGGTCGAAAGAGCTCTCAGGCTAGGGCGGAGCTAATTAGCAACGAGATATTGAGAGCAACAATGTAACTATTGTATAGAATTGGGGATTGGTCATAGCATAGCTTAGGTACTAGCTGCAAGAGTAAACACATGTAAATGATATGGCTTTGGTTTCGATTTCCGTTGATAGATGTTATTGTTACACTAGTTACAAGGCAAATGGATGGTCAAGACAATCCCCGTTATTGTGGTCAAGTGGTGCACATCGGAGATTTCAGTCCGATGCTACCAGTACTTCCTTCTCCTCAAGGAGCTTCGCGAGCTCTCCATTTTGATGCATCGACATCAAGATATCGCAACCGCCGACAAACTCCTTGTCCAAATAGAGTTGTGGGATAGTAGGCCAGTCCGAGTACTCTTTGATACCTGATTTGAGACGACATGTTAATATCGTTGCCCGAAACGATGCGAGACAGGTTGTAGTAAAAGCTCCAAGCACAACTCACCTTGACGCAGTTCCGAGTCTTCCAGCACGTTGAACGCAACGAACTTCTTGGGATCCACCCCTTGTAAACCAAGAATCTGTATGCTTGCCCGAGAAAAGCCGCACTGTGGGGTTTCCGGGGTGCCTTTCATGAAGAGGACAACGGGGGCAGAGGCAACCGCTTTGTCAATAGCAGATCTTGTTTCCGTAGACAATAGGCGGGCGTAAATTGCAGAGGGGAGCCTCAAGGCTGGAGCCTTCGGTGGCAACGCGCATGATGGTCGCGAGATCGACCGAAATGCCTGTATACCGTGTAAGCCCAGGGAATCAAGTCAAAAGAATACTGCAAGAGACTCTGGCGACGCAGGGGAATAACATGATAGACTTACACATGAAAAGGCTGTTCGTGCAAACATGATGGTAGAATCGGCGAGTTTACTTATATTACAGTATTCACCTATATACCTGTTGTGAAGGTTGGGGCGCTCAAGTATTGGAGGCTCTTGTAAATCATCCTACCCGGGACCGACAGTTACTCAGCTTGCCTAGGCCAATCATGTCACATGATTGTGATTTATAATTGGGCGTCACTGTTGTTAATTTATGACATAGTCGATAACCGCTCGTAAGGCGGTGAGTGACGAACGCCGATGTACCCCCCCCCACGTGGGAATTGTGATGATGGTACACTCCGCGCAGTTTACGGTTGTCTATGTGATCCATTGCCTCCTCCAATTGTCATAATGGACAATTCATCCCCCCCTTTCTCGGCTCAAGAGCATCTACATGGCAACAAAACCCACATCCTGCTGGCTGCTAGCGGGTCAGTCGCCACGATAAAGCTGCCCAACATTGCAGAAGCACTTGGTCGCCATCGCAATGTGGCGATTCGTATCATTTTAACCGGGTCTGCCGCAAAATTCCTGAAGGGACAAAGCCCGGAACAGCCTCACTATGAGGACTTACAGCAAATTCCGGGTGTGGACGCTGTCTACCACGACGAGGATGAGTGGAAGGATCCGTGGGTTCGCGGCAAGCCGATTTTGCATATCGAGCTCAGGAAATGGGCTCATTTACTGCTCATAGCTCCGTTATCTGCGAACAGTATGGCTAAAATGACAATGGGGTTTGCGGATAATCTTCTCCTATCTGTCATCAGGGCATGGGACACGACTGGGATTGTGGACGGAGGCTTTAAGAAAAATAAACCGCTGGTTGTTGTTGCGCCTGCTATGAATACAGCTATGTGGAATCACCCAATCACAAAGAAACAACTGGGCATCTTGCGGGATGAATGGGGATATACCGATGCAACTGATGAGGGTTGGGTGTCTATTCTGAATCCAGTAGAGAAGCCACTTGCTTGTGGTGATACGGGAAATGGTGCCATGATGGATTGGAGAGACATTGTGAATGCCGTGGAGCAACGTATAGGCTTAACAGTAGCTGACCCCAACCATGGCAATTAAGAGGCATGTCATCTGTGAAGTCAACATTCAGAAGCTTCTTGTGCCGGAGGATTCCGCTCTTCGTTTGATACATAGAACCCAGTGATTTGAGCTATGTATTCAAGAAGAAGTCCCGCGGTGATACCGCCACCTGTCAGCAAGCAGCCATTTTTGAACCACCACCAGCAATTCTCAACGCTCTTGAGACGAACCCTCCAGATCATGGTGCCAAGCGTAAGAATGGCACTTCCGCAACTGCCAACGAAGAAAACAGGGCCGGCTCCGACCGCTGCCCCCGCGGCGCCGAGCAGTGTGACTTGGGCAACGGCTAGAGCAGAAAGAACGCCCTTCGTGTTGTTTTCGTGACGAAGAGCAATGGATTTGATTCCCGCGGCCACGTCATCCTTGATATCCATATGTGCGTAGATCATATCATATAGAACGGTCCAGGCAATACAGCTCGAATAGAGTGCCGCCGCAGCTTCCAATGCGTCACGGTTCGAAAGAAGATCGACCCCTAGTGCCGGAAACCCCATAATCGCACCCCATGAGAACGTAAGGCCTAGGACAGCCTGCGGATAATAGGTGACGCGCTTGGCAAGAGGATATGTTGCCACGAGCAGCAGGCTAGGGATGCCGTACCACAAACATTGGGTTGGAAAGCTGAGGAGAACTCCAAGTCCAGCTAGTAGTTGAAAGCCGGTAAAGACGATAGCATTTTCCGGAGAAATTGCTCCTCTAGCAATCGGACGAAATTTGGTGCGCTCGACATGGGGGTCCAAATTTCTGTCCCAAAGGTCATTGATTGCACAGCCGGCACCTCGCATCACCAGGGCTCCAGTAAGGAATAAACCGGCAGTCCCTAAGACATGCAAGGGGGTTGCTGTCGATGAGATTGGTGCCGCAAGAAGCGTCGAAAATGCGCATGGAAAAAAGAGGTAGTATGTGCCCGTGGGCTTATCGAGGCGTATAAGCTCAGCGTACGGGACCCATCGCCGAGGTAGACGCGCAATCAATCCGGTCTGTGGAGGGGAGTATTGTGCCGTCGACTTTTGCTCCACCTCCGTTGGGGTGTTTGCTATTGGAAGCGACGAAATCGGTTTTTGCGAAAAATTTCTCGTAGATGGTGTATTTTTGGAATAGGTCGAACAAGGCTTGAATAGAGTTTTAGTGGAATTACGGCAGAGTGTCATATATTGAGATCGAGAATTAGGTTGTAATATTGACTGCCTGACTCTATTATGGTGAACGGTCTTCCCTGATGTTGGAGCATTTTGTAATAGTGCGCGACGCAATGGGGAAGAGGAAGCGCACAATATCATCTTGTAAAACAACCCAAAACGGGGATGAATCAATCAAATAGAGAGGGTGCAATCGTTTGATAAATCGAGCAGATGAGGTCAACAGCGAAGCATGGTCCCCAATTGAGCGAAAAGATTTGGCATAGGATTCGGAGATGGACTTTGCGCGATAAGTTATTTCGCGATTAGTGGAGCCGGATCTTCGTCCGGGTAACTGGTGGAAACATCGAGTGACAACGGCAAGCTTGGATTTCTGTTCAAATGTTCAATTGGTCAGACAATTGAATAGCGAGCACCATAACCAAATGAGGAGATTATATAGTAAATTGATATCAAGAACTGAATTGACGGTGTTGTTGTCTTTTTCGCTCTCCTTTTGCAAGAGGCTTGCAATATCTCACGTGATAGCAAGAAAACGACCCCACATATGAAGCAGTCAGTACTGTAGCGGGTTGATCAACACACGAGAAGACAGAGGAAGAACAAACCAACGCGTTTTATGCGGGCAACAATACCTCACAAGTTTCTCTCCTCTTGGCTACAATCCAGATTTTTGGATTAAGCTATCATCATGTCTGCCTTTACCCATTCATAATATCCAAGACAAGAAAGATGTCCACGTCAAGGAATAGTTAAAAAAAAATACCTATCCTTGGTTCTGAAGCTCTTTTGGAAGTTCCTCTTGAGAAAACCTTCAGTTCAGGTACCGCTAGCCCACCACAAATAGCAAGGCCACGGTTTACACTTCTTGTTGACAAATTGTGTCAAGTAAATGTCCATTTCAAAGTACTAGTTCAATGAGATGCGCCATTGTCCGCCAAATCTATGACACCTGATACCCGGACTGGACAGCCTGCACCCAACTGACCTGGCGCTCTTCATATCCCGTATTGAACCGCATTCGATCTCTACCTGAAAGTGTATCCGAAATGCCAAATCAACGGACACGAGCGGCTTTCGAGCCGATATCCCCCGCTATCGATGTTCCAGCGCTCGTGGAGTCAACGCCAAATTTCGAATATGTGACAAGAATCAGTTGCGAATCAATAGACGACAACGGGCTTGAAAATTTTGAGAAGCTAGTTTTCCTTCACGTTATCCTCCGTGGAATGCCTCTAGTTATCGAGGGATTCAATGGAAGGCTAGACAGTTCCTTATTTTCAGAAAAGTGGTTACGAACCCACTATTCGACAAAGAGTAAGTAACTGTGCATTTTGTGTTTATCTTTTGCCCTTGCTCTTGCTTTCGCCCACTGGCTGCTAACCCTCTTTCTGTAAGCGGAGGTCGCCAGGAACCTCACAACGAAGACTGACCTTCCTCTCACAATCGGCCACTATTTGAAGAATATGCCCATGCTCGCAAATCAGTGGACCACATTCAACTATAAAGACCCTGAACGTCAAAGAATTTACTTGAAGGATATTGACTGTCCAAAGCAATGGCACACTCATCTAAAGAAGATCATACCTCCCACCCTTTTCTACCTCAACAAGTCTCGGGAAGATTTCGAAGGTCCCGGGGCAAATACCGCCTCGATATCTGATGAAAATGGTGCTCCGGAGACCCAAATACCCAGGGCTGGTGATCTCATGAGTTGCCTTCCTCCCAACATGCGTGCTGAAAATCTGATGTGTTATATCGGCCATGAGGGTACTTACACCCCAGCCCATCAAGAAATGTGCGCCAGTCTTGGTCAAAACATAATGGTTGAAGCGTCAGATGGTTCCATTGAGTATGGGAAAGCGACTAAGCCAGGATCTTCAATCTGGTTTATGACAGAGACCAAAGATCGTCATGTTGTGTCGGAATATTGGCTGTCGATGTTGGGTCACGACATTGACATTGAAGATCATTTTGCTCAGATTGAAGCGTGGAAATCAGCCCCCTTCAAAGCATATGTTGTTGAACAGAAACCAGGGGATTTCATTATCATCCCGCCCTTGGCTGCACACCAAGTGTGGAACCGAGGTACAAGAACAATGAAGGTAGCTTGGAATCGTACTACTGCAGAAACACTAGATCTGGCTCTGAATGAAGCATTGCCGCACGCCAGGATGGTTTGCCGGGATGAGCAGTACAAGAATAAGGCAATCGTGTTTTACACCCTTGAGTATTACTCGAGTATCTTTGCCAGACACGAAACGGGCGGTACGAGGACCCAACAATTACAAAAAGATTTTGAACATGTTTTTATCTTGTATACAACTATTCTCATCTCTGAGTGCTTTCCGAGCGCGGAAGTTTGCCCCAAAAAACAGGATGTTGAATATATCCCTTTCGACGGCAGTATAACTTGCTCTTATTGCCGTGGCAACATATTCAACAGATTTCTAACTTGTCCGTGGTGTGTGGGTGAAACGGATGACTCCTACGACATCTGCATGGAATGTTTTGCTATGGGAAGAAGTTGTGCCTGCATATCCAGGTTGAAGTGGGCTGAGCAATTCAGATGGGATGAGCTCACTGAGAAGCATGAAAGGTGGAGACGCATGGTAAACCACTTTCCGGGCGATAAGCGAGTTCAGTATAACTCCTTGTTAGACATAATGACCGAATTGCAGAAGGAAAGGAAGACATTGGCAGAGATCTGCTACGAACAATTAAGATGTCGGCCCTGGAATGACATATCAAAGCCAGTCGTCCAAGAAGCCCAAGAAAAACAAAGCGATTCGGAAACAAGCGGTGTTGTCCGAAAGCGGAGGAAAACCAATGGCAACCGCAAGTTCGACCAAACTGGCCGATGCCACATCTGCAAATCCAGTGAACCGAAGTGGCGGCTCGCTTGTTGTTCAGAATGTCAGTTGGAATATTGCTACGGCAGCCTCTTCAGAGCCTTCAATATGAAACCGCAGGACGTCATGGAAATGAAGACCTGGAAATGCCCGAGGTGTGATAAGGTTTGCAGCTGCGCTGCATGTCGTCGAGATCCTTCGATGACTCCTTTTGAACCCACAATCACACTTCCCGGTCATGATACTGCAAAGGTAGCTGATCCGCGTAGTGTGGAGAGCTTAGTGGACTTCCGCCAGTCGAATTCTCAATGGCTGAAGAAAGCAGGAGATGACGATATTGGTCGACTGAGGAAACACCAAGAAGAGGCTGATGCGAGAAGAAGCCAGTCTCTATTGGATCATTCCATCCAATTGGAGGAAATAATGCCGGAGCAAGATCGAACACCAACCTATAGCCCTCAAAAGGGCTTCTTGGTTGAGAGCTATCCAGGTGAATTCGGAGACATACCGGTGGACCCTGCACTTGAGATGTCAGGCAACTCGGTCCCAAGTCTACCCGATTCAAGAAATCAATCAAGTGTTAAAGAATAAGGAACAATTCCGACATGTCATAAAAGCAGACTTGGATCGTTACGTAGATGCTGTTTTGAATACAGGCTTGGAATGTGTTGAAAATATTGCGGCTGCAATCGTCACATTGTGTGCCATTGAGATAACTAGATCCAATCTACTTTCAGCGAACTAGAATTCAACGGTCAAATTAGACAATGGATGTAGGATGGTGCATATGTAGGTCAACATGGCTGTCCGAGCCCACTTCCAAGAGAGTTGAAATGTTTTGTTAATAAGCTTTGTTTCACTCGGTCCTGCTAAGCTCCTTTATAATCGTATCGCAGTTTTTCAAGTTCTTCGATGTTCACAGAGACCATTAACCTTCGGACAACAAAGACGATTACTAACATGACTGCAGAAAGATGAGCCTCGGTTTTGTTTTGCATGCATGTATGCAGTTTTCATGCTTGGATCCAAGGACAGAGACGCACCTCCTGGAACGACATATGTAACTTGTCGGTGGCTGAGTGATGATTCCACTCGGGGAAGAAAGACGTATGATACCGTCAGTAGCCCACTGACTATGATGTTTGCGAGCAAAAGATATTCCAGGATTGATGTTGGAGCTTCTGGCTTGAGAGCTGCTTGTGTAAATCTGGAATCGGTCTTTCGCAATGGCATGTACTTCATGATGTAAGCAGTGGTGATCAACGAAGCGATGCCGAGCAAAGCTAGCAGCGGCTCCAATGCTCTCGAAGAGCCGGCCAGCAACTGTGGAACGAATATTATGGTAGATAGGAGTGGGACGATCGCAAACATGTTCTATAAGCAGATCATGCCATCGCTTCTTAGTAAAGGCTAGAACACTGTCATATGTGCAGCAATTTGGAGAAAGTTACACTGTATTCTGCATTTCGTTGGTCAATCTGCGTACGCAGCTGATCGAGCACCGACTCCTGTTCTGTAGAATGGTCATTAAGTGTATTAGGAATATATGCACCGCCATGGTGTAAAACCAACCCTCATCATCTAGTTCTGCGCGGCCCTGTTCGTCATCGTCCGAGTCGTCGGGATAGCGGAAGGCCTTGCGGAGTCTCGGAGTAGCCATGATGTAAACATTTGGGTCTATCCACGATAAAGGGGTGGGAACATAAGGGGATCTCTCGATTATACAATAATAAATTAATACGAGAGCGTTGGAGAAACGGTAGATTAGAAAAAAACACGCTGGGCGCAAAGTAGACAGACGGTTTAGTACTTGGGCAGGTTTGACCTGTTTGGCAACTTTGTTCCGCTTACAACTAACTCTCTTTCCGATAAATCCCACCACATCGCACGATCTTGTCTCCTTTGCCAGCCTCACGATTTGAACGAGACCCAGGCCAATCCTGCCCGTCATGACTTTACAAGCGGCACAGAGGCGCATAGCGCTCTCTCGACTTCCGACTTTTCGCAAACAGACGAGCGCCCCGCGTCGCAATCTTATACCCGCGCCGCAGTCGAATTCAGGCCCATTGATGGAACGACGGGCGGATCGCGAACTACCCTCCGTGAAGCCAGACCGACGCTGGCTGCGGACTTTGCCCCTGTTTGCGGTCGCCGTGGGAGCCGGTCTGCTCGGTATCTTCAACTACCAGAAGTCGTCGTCGAGCGTGGTCAGCAGTAACCTCTACGCCCTTCGGACGTCGCCTCGCGCACGCGAGATCCTGGGCGACGAGATTTATTTCGCCCAAAAGATACCGTGGATCAGTGGGGAGATGAACCAGCTCCATGGACGCATCGATATCTCCTTCTGGGTGAAGGGCACCAAGGCGCAGGGGAAGATGAGATTCAGAAGTATCCGGCCAGACCGCATGAGCTACGTTAGTAGTACCCGTTCACCAATACTATATCAGTATGACATGTCCCGCTGATGGTCTTTAGTTTCGTACCGAGGAATGGAGTCTGGAGACGGAAGATGGGACTGTAATCCCGCTTCTTACCAGCGATACCGATCCATTCCGTCAAAGTGATTGAACAAACCCGGACACTATCTGAAAGTTTATAAGTTTGGGCGAGAAACCAGGAGATTTGTATATCACAAGTTATCATTATTTTCTTTGCATATTCCAGGCGTACCAGGATTCTTCCATCTTTTGTTGCAGGAACTTCTCCGCTTTGTGCTTTACGGTTACAGGACTTGCTCTCCTGGGGCTTTGCGCCGTGGATGAGCGGGTCGACACAATTGGGACCGATAAATAGGACATCATTTATGTATCATATAAAGAACGCCGCTTTGAAAGAGACAACAATACCAACAACGTAGTTGTTGGAACTAATATACATTTTCATAGAAACACCTGCCTCCCAAGCCACCCTGAGCCATTGTGAACTTCACGCAGTCGGCTCGGCGGGAGTCTCCGCGGGAAGCTCAGCGGGAGCTACTTCAGGCCACGGCTTCTTAATCGCATCCTGTATCCGTACCTGGCAGCCTTTAGGTCCGCTAACAGCGCCTGAAATAAGTCCACATATTAGCAAAAAAAGATTCAGTCAAGGAAGGAGGGCATATTTACCCTGGACGACAATAATCCCGTTCTCCGGGTCGACCTTGAGGATCTTCAGGTTCTGCACGGTATTTTGCTGATTTCCCATATTTCCCGCCATCTTCTTTCCAGGATACACACGCGAACCGCCACCCTGACCGGGGCCCGAGGAACCCATCGAACGGTGCTTCAAACTCACACCGTGACTGCGATCCTGACCGCCGAAACCATGTCGCTTCATCACACCGGCAAAACCCTTACCCTTGGCGTGCGACCGCGCATCGACATACTGGCCCGTCTGGAACCAGTCGGCGTTGATCATCTGGCCGACGGGCAAGAGGCCGGCCTCGTCCTTGACTCGGAATTCGTAGACGTGTCGTTTCGGCGAGACGCCGCTGGCGGAGAAATGGCCGAGAAGCGACTTCGTCATATTGGACGGGTGCTTCCAGCCGGAACCAAGCTGGACGGCGTTGTAGCCGTGTATTTGGCGTGTTTTGTGAGAGACGACTTCGACTCGATCGAGCTGGAGGACCGTGCAGGGGACGCGCTTCCCGGTTTCGGGGTCAAAGAGGCCCGTCATTCCCTTCTTGATGACAATGGTGCCGGTGCGGAGAGGCAGCGTTTTCGATTTCCGTTCCAGAGCGGCGGTGGGCGTCGATTTGAGGACAGGTAGATCGGCGCCGACATTGAAGCGGGAGGCTTTGGGAGGGTTCAATGACCGGATACCGAATGACCGGGTGGGAACATTGGCGCGGATAATGGTGAATAGGGATCCCTTTGGTAAACAAGGGAGCTGGGGGAGATTCCCCAAAATGCGTGGTGGCATGGTAGGCGAGTGGTGGTTGGGATAATCTATGTTGGATCGTCCGGTCTGGTCTCTCCTGGCTGAGATTTTTGTTTAGGACTGCGGAGGTTGCGCTGGCGGTGATGGAAAGGGAAGGCGGTGTGGGTGCCGTTCTTGCACTGCAGCATTCCTCTGCCCGCCGGGTGATCCATTTGATGACGGAAACCCGGTGCGCCGGCAGGCCGAGCGTCGGAGCTTTTCCCGCTCTATTTTTTTTTCTCTTTGGCATCGATCTCACTTCAGCTCTTCTCGAATTACTACTGGCATGCTGTCAGAATCACAGCGGCACATATCCTAAACGTCATATAAATATCCACTATATTTTACTGCTCCCAATATATTACATCCCACCAATCTAGCTTGGTTATTTTCTTCGCATTCATCCACCATGCACCCTCGGCACCCGCTTCTATCCCGCTGGTTCTCCCAAGCAATGCAGGGCGTCCGGCGATCACCGATGTCAACAACAACAACAACAGCAGCCAAAACCCCCTCGATCCTCCAGCAACTCTCAAACGCAAGCCGCCTGCGACAACCGTTCAGCACCACCGCCACCAAACGCACCACCCCCCACCTCCAGAGCCGCACCCTCCCGGGCCGGATACACCTCAAGGGCAATGGCAACTTCCAGCGCCGGTTTTTCTTCTCGTCGCGGGCCAAGAACTCCTCGCAGTCGGGATCGGCGCCGTCGCTCTCCCAGCGCCTAAAGACCCTCTCCAAGGAATACGGCTGGTCGGCATTGGGGGTGTACCTGCTTCTCTCGGCGATGGATTTCCCCATCTGCTTCCTGGCAGTGCGTTGGCTGGGCGTGGAGCGGATCGGTCGCTACGAGCACATGCTCGTGGAGTCGGCCAAGGATGCTATGCAGCGGGTGTGGCCTCGCAGTGAGGAGGAGGCTGCTAGCGAGGAGGCTCAGGAGCAGCCTAGCAAGGAGGAACAGAAGAAAGGGGAAGCGAGTATGTCATCATCCATTCCCTCCTCTCCCTCTGAAACCACATGCGTTTTTTTTTTTCCCTTGAAAGAGTGCGGTGTACTAATCTCGAAATCAGGTCTCTGGACGCAGGTCATGCTCGCTTACGCCATCCACAAAAGCCTCATCTTCATCCGAGTGCCCCTCACCGCAGCCATCACCCCCAAGGTCGTGAAGACCTTGCGGCAATGGGGCTGGGACATCGTAAAGGGCAAGCCAAAGGGCATGTAAGCGTCAGCGTCAGCGCTAGCGCTAGCGCCTGTGTACAACATTAACCGGTGCGTTGTGTACAACATTAAGCGACGCTGTGAATCTTCTGCGTCATATCTGTAACATCTACACTACATTTTTGTTTTATTTATCTTATTTTCTTTTTTTTTTTTTTTTTTGGTTCCCAATTGGCATGCATGGCGGTGTTGCGGTTGCTGTGCTTCTTTGTTGTATGTATAATAGCTGGTAGATCTTATTTATTGGGGCGCATGGTTGTGGACTCTTCTCTCCACTCGCCTTTTACGTCTGATACTATGGAGGAGTAAAAGAGAAGTCCGTCTATTTGACGATTCAAGAGGCACTGGGAACTCCCGGTTTGTATGTTCTGAAGTGTCCCATTCTTTCACATGGGTTGCATGAACTCGATAACAGGAGACTTGATGTCTGCAAATAATACACTAGCTGGCTTGATGGTTATCATTTCAAATATATATATAGACAGATGGATGATAGCTTGATAGATAGGCAATCAATGGCGATGGCATTGCAGCCTAAAGAGGGCCCAGGACCATGTAAAGCGCATGGCTTACATATCAATCGTATCATTGAACCGCAGGATACCATTGGCTTTCATGATTCCATTCACACCTTCAGGCATCTGATAAGCCCATTCAGCCATGCCCATCGTACCCGAGGATGTGTTCATTTCTGACTCCGAGTGATTGGCCTCGTCCGACGTATCAGCCACAAGTACGAGGCCGAGCTCTTTAATCGTCTCAACAAGGGCCGGTACAACATTCTGCGTAAAGTGCATTTCGCGTTAGTCGGAAACATTGACTGACGCCCGGAATGAACCGGGCTAGTAAAGGGGATAAGACGTACCAAAAGGCTCGAACGGCATATCAATCCCATGAAGTTGTTTCCCTGGGCTATGCGTGCCGATTCCTTGATAGACATTGAGGCTCGGCCGCTGCTATCAACATCTGGTACTGTGCCGACGTCACGGGCCAGGTCTCGAATCTGACCGAGATCGTTGCATAGAAGGATAGGGTCTATACGGTTAGATCGAAAAATTAAGGTATCAGGACATATGACCCGGCGCATGGGATGTGATTGTATCAAGGAGGGGATGGGGTCAAACTCACAATTGGGCTGCTTCCAGTTCAAAGCAATGCAAATATTAGGGTTATAAGACGTGAAAACAATAGAGCGCATGAAGTCAGGGTTTTGGTCACGTGCGACACGGGCGTGATCGAAGACATCAGTAAGAATGGCGTCGGCGAAACTGTTAACATCGGCCAGAGAAGTCATGTTCAGGGCGCGTTCCTCCGCGGAAGATGGATAGAGGATAGTAAGGTTGACGTTGAGTTCGATCGGCAGATGCTGGAACACATCGCGTAAGGAGACGAAGGAAGCAGCCAGTCGGCGGTGTGTTTGCGACAGGTCATCGAGTCCATGATGTTGTAGGAAGTCCAGCAGCTGTGCCATATCTGCTCCCCTCTCGACGCCCATAGCCCGGAACTGACTGTATGTCAGATGGCAGATGGGTATCTCAACGCCATGGTGATCAATTGTAAACCGCGGGCATAGGACAGGAACCATGTCCCTAGTGAGCTGCACAAAGAGCTGGACGTGATCTCCCGAGAGACTGGATCCAGTGACAAGGCCATTATGGTCAGAGTCAATGGCGCTGGTCGCTTTCCAGTAGGTTGCAAAATGCGTGATCTCCAAAGGCTCACCATGATACGGCTTGATGACCTGTAACCGGAATTGGAGCTGACCAATTGACCGGAGCCGGGGGTCAAAAAGGGGTAGCGTACATGACCCTGTGCTCGAGTTCTCGGCCTTGAACACTGTCGGCAACGCAACAGACTTAGCAATCACCTTGGAGCCGAACGTGGGAAATATTTCGAAATCCACGGCAAAGGTCTCCAAGTTGTCCACTTGGAAAGAAATCACCCGCGAGTCTTCTTGAATCGGAAGCATGATGGTCCGCGGAATCAAGTCGGAAAGTTTGGAAGATATGGTCAATCGGGCAGCGGGATGCCGGCCAGCTTGATCGAAGGATATCGAACCCGCGCTGCCAGAGTCGAAGATTATCTGGACAAACACTCTCTTGTCCAAGAAGTTGTGACCATAGCGCCGTAGCGGTATGATGGGAGGTGGCAAAGACAAATCCGGGATCCCGTCGGCCGTCTCCATATCGTCAGGCGATGCTGCATCATTGGAGTACGGGTCCGAGGACAGGCTCTCCTGAAGGCTCAACCCATTTAACGTATCAAACGGCTTCCGCGGGGCTTGCGAATGAGCTCGATTGGACCAAAGTAGGAGCATGCATTCCAAATGGCCTTCCCAAGCTGCGTAATACATCGCAGCAAGGCCTTTCTCATCCACGGCGTCGGCGTCGACACCGAGCTCCAACAGGGTCCGTAGACAATCGACGCACCCCTCGCTGGCGGCATGGAAGAGCGGCGTCCATTGGTACAGCTTGTCCCGTTGATTCATATTCGCCCCGTGGTGCTTCAGCATCATCAGCAAATCTGGCGACTGTGACGCACGCGCAACCATATGTTGAGGATAGAGGCCCTCGGCGTCCGGGAGCAATTTGGCATGGCGCTCGAGGAGCATCCGCACGATTGGGAGTGAGCCATGTTGGCATGCCAGGTTGAGTGGGATATGATCTGATTCAGAGGTTGGGTCGATCCGAGCATTACTGCAAAGAAGTTGCTCGGCACAGGCGAGTTGGTTCTTGACGATGCTATGTATCAGTGGGGTAAAGTTGTCGTGGTCCATGACGTCCACAGTCTGAGGGCCTGCGGCCAGGAGATCCCGGACCATCTCCACCCGGCCGTGCATGCAAGCATAATGGAGAGGAATCCTGCCATATACATCGGAACTGGAGATGTCAACACCTGCCTTGAGCCCTGCCTGGAATACGAAATTGCGCCCCGATATAGCGGCCTCGTGTAGGCAATTGCGCTCATTGATATCGTCTTCGGCAAACAAGTCAACCAATCCGCTCTCCACAAGCACTGCAAGCACCTCATCCGAAAATTCGTTAATCGCAGCAAGGAAAGTACGCGTCGCACGATCCCGAGCATCCGCGGTAGACTGCAACTTGGCGGTCCATTCACGTAGCGTCTGGAGATTTCCCGCGGTAGCCGACTGCAGGATCTGGAGATCGAGGTCTTCTTCGTCGGGCCCGAAAGAGGTAGCCATAGTTCGGTCCACTGGCCGGGTCACATCGAACTGTATGCTTTCGCCCTCCGCTCCAGCCTCCAGCTCTAGGCGAGCTGTTGTCGCCCGGTCAGAGAGGTCACGTAAGACATCTCGATTGAAACACGGTTGCACTTCAACGGCGCGGTGAAGATACAGCTCTTTCATGCGAGACTATATAGGTAGAATGTGAGCGCCGCACACCTTTGGGGCGGGGAGAGGGAGGCTCCCCCCGATAGAGGGATCGTTCGGACCTTTGAAGTTTTATCCCACTAATTGGATGGTTAGCTATCCGAATTTGGGGATACTTGAAGGGGTAGGTATTGGCGAACCTTCTTGAGGATCTTGGACATGGCAGTCTCATTGATTTCAACGAATTGCTTTTCGACGATGAGAAAGTCAGCCTCCCTGTGAGCTTCTCCAACGCGCGACTTAAGAGCAGTGGCGATCTACCTGCAACTTATTCAAGTCTCCATCGAACTGTTGGAATCCCTCGAATAGGGTGACGAGGCTTGCCGGGGCCTTTGATTTCGCCGCCGTCCGCGACTGGATAACGCGCTTCTTGTCGAGCAATGTTTTTAACCGCAGTGAGAACTGCGCCAGGGTGAGCCATCTGGACATGTAGCGTGCACAGCGCAATCAGGGCTAACCTCGGCTTCCTTCTGCAAGTAGAACGCATTGACTTTTTCGATTTCTCGTTCCTACCAACGACGTCTCCATGAGAATCGGACCATTCCTTAGAGCTCGAGTTATCCCATACCAGTCGGAAGAAGAACACCTCCTTGTTCGCGCGAAGCGCGGCTTGCGATTCGGGTACATGCGGGGCAGCAGCTGTACCGCTCTGGGCGGGGATTGTGGGCGTCGCACTCAGTTGTTTGATGAGCTGTCGTGATATGTGAGCGTTGTAATAGCCAAAAGCGCACGAGACGAGGAACCTTTTTCAAAGCTTTATAGTTGACGAAACTGGCGGCATATTCGGGAAGGTCGAGCTGTCTGCGCTGGATCTGTTTACCGAACTTCCTGTATTGACCGGTCAGCACTGGATTGTAGGGCTCTCTGCCATGGAACTTTTTTCTTTCTGTATTTTATTCTCCCTTCATTTCTTGTCCCCCCTATCCTTTCCTTTTCATTTTGCCCCGCAGATAGCACCGAAAATTGAGAGGGAAACACATACATCTTGATATGCCTTGCGGGGAATCCAAGGATCTTCCAAGCCCTTGAAGCAGTCGCACCCCGTCAAGGCAAAAGCGGCGCGGCACTGGACAGTCGAAAGAGTTCGCAAAGGAACAGACAGAGTAAGACAATTGGCGGGAGAAAAAAAGTTCAGCAACCAGGACGAAAGAAACGAAGACGGACAGGGAGTGCCCCTCTTTGAGCACGGTAGATAAAGAACAGGGGTGCTGGTGCGGTGCTGTGTAGAAGAGGGATGTGGATGCGGATGGGATGGGATGAATAAACCGAGGACTTGGACCGAAGTGGGGCGGGAAGGATAACTGAGAAACAATCCAGTCGGTGACAACTTAGAAACAGAGGAGGAGGTCCTGCGGTTTGTAGACAAGGGTGGGTATACCCACTGGGGCCAGAGCGAAAATCCAAGGCGGGAGATCAGGTCGTCAATCCCGTGCGTCCGACTGTTGGATCACAAAGTCCGAACCAAACAAGGGTCGAGAGGCCCAGAGGGCGATGGAGTGTCACCGAGAGCCGCGTTGCACGTAGGGACCACACCGAACCATCGGAGAGGACGAATTAGGTATATTGGCTCAAGGAGAATGGATACTTTGCAGCCAGGTAAGTAACACTGATATTCCACCGCTTAAACAGACGGACGAACTGGAAGACAGAAGCCAGTGCGGGGCGGACGCTTAACCCCGGTGGGACGAGAAGGGATGTAGTCGGCTCTCTCGAGGAAATGGTTATTAGTTAGGTCGTTGATTTGATATGTAGTACATAAGTACTAGGACAACATCCAAAGAGCACGTAACAATAGACCACCGACGGACAATATACTATAGGCGGGGAAAATCGCCGACAAGAAATGAAGTTGAAGCCAAAAGGTCGTGGTTGAACAAGGGCGAAGTGGAGCCGGGAGAGCTCTGGGTAGCTGGGGGGGGCGTCTCCGGACCAATTATTGTCCCCGATCCGCCCACGTTCATACTACTTAACCTTACCTCCGTCTATCATATAGTAACCGGTGATATTACCCCTCCATGGTAGCGTGTGTTCTGGCGACCTACTACTGTATTCATCTTATTATGAACCTGGTGGTACAATGACCCGCGGAGGCCGCCGGTATACTGCTTAGGACCAGCCTTGACCAGGAGAATCGTGGCCCATCAGGCGAAGCCAAAGTTAGTTGGCAATCTACTGGCAATTCCTTGGCCCTGGGTCTTACGATGACCTCGATTCGAGACCGTTGCAGCCCAGTCGGAGGAGTCCGAAGATCTCCCAGATCTAGGTCGCACTGGCCTCTTCAGGTAGGAGGAAGTTGCGCCGCACAGGACACCCTTTTTGATAGGAACCTCGGAGGGCCTTTCAAATCTGTTATTTGAGTAGCTTGAGAGAATCACAGCACCAGGGAAAATTTTGTGTATTCAATCATCCTGTCCTAAAAAGATATGAGACACCCTGCATCCAACTGCAGAGACAAGACGCAATCCGTGTATCTTATAGACACACCCAGACCCTAGAATAAACAAAACCACTTTGAAAAGTCCAGACAAGAAGGAAAATGGAGGGAAGGGGGTATGTCCATGTAATGCCTTCCGCGATTGAACCTTCCAAAATCATGAATGTACAGTCGAAGGCCATAAAGTTGCAAAATAATAAGGAAAACGAAAAAACGAGAGCAGTACTTCAAATGCGGGATATATCGACAACAAGAGAGCAAACTGAAGAGAGTCAAAAAATAGAGTAATAAGGAGCGAAAGAAGTAAAGAAGAAAAACGGTAGCGAAGCGGCGGAAACGAAGGTGACGCCCAACTAGACATGGGAAAGAAACGCTGGATAGGAAGCGAGAGAAAGTCCATACACAAGGGGAGAAAAGTAAGGACCAGACGAGGACGAAACCATAAGATCCTATAAGAAGGAACAACAAATTCTCTAGAAGAATTTGTCCGGCCTGACGGGGCGTCGGGGAAGTCCGACCGGATAGTGAAAATGGTGAACAGCGCGAGCTTCTCCTGTCTTGCTGGCCTCTGATTGGTCTTACCAGTTTAAACCAAACGCGATAGTATTGTGAATCGTCATAAGCAACTAGGAGGCCCGGATGCCCTTCTCGAATTCGGTGTATATATATGTATATATACACTCGCGGAAACAAAAACACCAGGAAAGACAAGTCCCTAAAAGTTCTGTGCTATCCCAGCATTCCCTTGTCGAGGAAATACAGCCGGGTTCTCGATGCGTGTGTTGCGACGAGCTTGAACGTCCCGAATCACCGGCTGGCTACCGGGATATGAACCCTCGCCATATGCGCCGTACTGCGATTGCATGTCGTTGTAATAAGGATGGTCTTCATAATACTGGCCGGTAGGGTGGGTGGCAGACATGTGACTCTCGTCCGAGGCCTCGGAGCGGTTGCCTGCCGAATACGCGGACGAGGCATTGGAGGGACCACGGTGGATATCGGTGGTTCGATTGTTGGTGCTCGCTACCGGGGCAGCCCCCAAGACGCCAACTGGCTCATTTTCACTCCCCGCTGCGGGCCCATCCGAGAATTGAATTGTGCCATCGCTGGGAGTCGCGGTGTGGTGATATCCGGGGGCGCTTCCGGCTTCGGACATTGCTAGCCCAACGCCAGGACCACTCGACAAGTTGGTGGACGCTTTGCGACCGGCCGATGTGTTTCCCCACCCTCGATAACCGGACGTGTTATCATCCTTGGTTTCGAAAGCACCACCGCCCATGATAGGAGGCAGAGACGGATCGTTATTCGGGTTGAACCCGTACTCCTCCACCTCTTTCCTTCGCTCCTCTTCGGCCGCCTTCTTGGCTTTCCATTTCCTGTAGAAATACAGTGCGGCCAGAATGATCATCGCTACGGAGCAGACTGGCACCACGACTGCAACTGCGATGGTGCCACCTGTGGAGAGCTTCGATCCACCACTAGCGCCTGAATCGGCAGCGGACGCCGTTGCGGTCGACCCGCTTGTTGTCGCAGTGACGCCATCCGCGGAGTTACCGGTGGTCGTTGGGAGTGGTGAATCGGTCGATGTGATTGTAAGGGTTTGCGGCGCAGTGGTGCCGTCTGTCGGCGTCTGGGTCTCGATGGTCGTGGTGATAGGAGTCGTGTGAGGTTCGGTGGCACTGGTAGAAGTTGATTCGGAGCTGGTAGTTGATTCGGAGCTGGTCGTTGGAGGCTCACTCGACGTGGACGGCTCCTCTGACGAAGTTGAACTCTCTGATGAGGTAGTGGGGGGGGGATCGGAAGACGATGACGACGAAGTGGTCTCCGGAGTCGGTGTCGTCTCCGGGGGAGAATCGGTGGTCGGTGATGGCTCAGGCTCAGACTTCGTCTCACTCGTGGTCGCGGGATCGGTTGCTGTTGTGGCCGCTGTCGGCGCTGCCGCCGCCGCTGCTGCAGCCTTAGCATGTCGTTCAAACCATTACAGACCCTCAACGGTCGCATCAGAAGGGGTGGGGACGGTGATCTACTGTACCGGAAGACTCGGCCATTTTCGGCGCAGACTTGTTCTAAGGCTCAGCCAGATCTGGCGAATTGACCGACCGCGACTGCGCGAAATCGAGTGGAAGAATTACTCCGGGGAGCAATGTCGTCTGGATATTGGGCTTCGAGGGACCAAGGAATTGGGAGAGAAGGTTGTATAAGAGAAAGGAAAGGTCCAGGGAAATGAGAGACGGGAAGGATAGAAATGGAATCAAATAAAAATAGATAGAAGTAAAGGTCCAATCAGTTACTCCATGAGATACTGGTCAAGCAATTGTTGCACTATGCGGAGGGGAAGAGGCGCGAAGAACGCAACACAAGATGTTTGTCTGCCTGGCTCAGGGTCAGGGGTGGGCGGTTGAGTAGGGTCCGATCACAATCGGGGGGCTTACCAAGAAAGATGAGGAGCCCATGAGAAGAGGAAGAGGTCAAGAAGATTAAAAGAAGAAATAAATTGAAAATAGATTAGGTATAGGGTTAGAATCACATTAGGGAAGAAGAAATGAAACAAAAGAACTGAAGAACTGCCGTTCGACAGAGGAAGGGGGAAGACAAATAAGAGAGTGCAGCCGCGTCCAAAACGGAGGAAAAGAGAGAAGAGGGATTGGAAGGGCGAAAGAAGAAGTGGAGAGCATCAAGAATCCAACTGACTAGGTGGTAGCAGGTAGTTGGGTAGGGACGGAGTACCGCGAACGGAGGTCGTATTCTCTTTATTATTATTTTGATTATGAGCAGCGGAGGTATCAAATGTATCATGTATTACAGTCAGGTACGGGAGTACCTTGGATCGAATCTTCCCTCTCCAGGATCATCTGGTTTGCAGCAGTTCATGGAGAAAGGGGCAACCCCCGAATATAAAGATATTTATTGTCTGCCCTACTTGCATTATTGTCAAACCATGTGTCACGGTCAAATCAAAGTCCTGATACATTCACAGGATACATTCAACAACAATCAGTCCTCCGTACCTGATGTAATAATACACACTGCAAGTCCAGTGGAGACCACTAGTAAAAGAGGTATCTTTTCCCACCCGTCTCTTGACTCTCTCTAGTCTCTCCCCTTGACGGTTGCGGGTAAAGACCCTCACAAGACCCATCTGGGTGCTTATTCTTAGCATACATGTCTCGACTTTCTTGCCTCGAAAGAATGTGCATTGATAATTATAGTATCTTCGACTGATGCATCCATCCTTGAGGGACAGTGGGGCCGGTTTCATTTCATTCATTTCGTTTTTTTTTTTTTCAATCTTATTGATCTGTTTATTTACTTATTTATTGATTGTATATCTCTGCTTGCAGCTCAGATGTGGACTTTTCCTCCGCCAATCCAGGAGACGGATCTAAACCAAGTCCGACCGAGTCTTGGTTGTATCAGTAATCTCCAATACCTCACAATATTTTTAACGATGTACTCCGTACAGTAGGAAAGAATCGACATCACGATTACCTCACTATGGTAACTCATCCGTCATTAGCCACTATCTCCTAGATACTATGTAAATACTATGGATCCATCTGGCAGGGAAAGTAAGAAAAAAAAATCGATCAAAAAACAATGATGGCAGCGGCGCCATGACAATCATCATTCATACATAATACTAGTATATTGGAACATCTGATTTACAAGCGCCCCGTTCCTTGGGGTTTTTTTTTTCCATGGGACGGGAACCCATGGAATGGCACTCTGACTGTTTGGTTATGTTTACGAGAGAGAAAAGAAGCCCATGAAGAGAACATGAAACGAAAAAAAAGAAAAGCGAGGAAAAAGGAAATCAAAAATAAGACAAATAAGAGAGGCGAACGAAGAGAAATCATAGAAAGGCACAAGAATAAAAAGAATAAAAAAGATCCTCCCACAAGCCACAGCCCGTCCAAACGAAGAGGTCTAGATCCCCGACCGCTCGAGCGCCCCTCTCAAGGTACTAAAGGTAGGCAATGTCAAAGAGATCAGGCTCTGCCAGGCTTTCGCTTCCCCAAACAAACCGGAAATAGGAGGCGATTGGTTCACCCGATCTACTTTTTCCCATCTTCCAAACCTTTACAGACTCATCCCAGGTTACCTATATGCAGGTTATATCCAGATTATATCATATGTAGGTGTCCATGACATTGACCGATCGACGGATCTTGTCAACGGCTGGTCGGGGTTCCTGTCCACCAATCGAGCCCGACGGCCTGGAGTTGCACCGGCGATTCGATCGGATCTTTTACGGAGTACGGATAGAATGACGTTTTTCTCTTGGTGTCCAATCCAATCAATCAATCCCTTGCTGTATCTTAGTATCAGTCCAATTTACATTTCCCCTCCCGCTGTAACCATATCGCCCAGGTTGTGGCTTGAGTTTCCGCTACCACAGGAGAAAGCTACCCCCGTACCCCGGCTCGCGTGGAAGCTAGCAATTCGTGTCTTTCCGACCCTCTACGAAACCATGGAGAAGAAAATGCAAGAAAAGAAATAAAACCGGTCCCTTGTATGTATGATATGATAATATGTACGCCACCGACGTCAAGCAACTGGCTAAATCGACCCAAGTCCCCTCGGTCAAAAAAGGGGTACTGTACTGGTGTATCAAAGACAGGATAACAAATGGCAGATCGTAAGGGGGGAGATACTCCCACCCAGGTCGAAAATTAGAGAAGATAATCATTACATGGAATCAGAAGAAAAAAGTGGCCTTGGCGGCCCCTTCATATCTATTTCCGCATATCCCACGCCGGGCGAAGACTGGACATCAAGTCGTCTTTGGTCCCGACGGTTTCCGGGGGCAAGCGGCTGACACGGTACGCACCAGTGCGGATGTTATTCAAGTGGGCAATCGAGACTCCTGTGCCGTTGCTGCGAATGCTGCCTGCGTCACTGGCAGTCTCGGTGTTCTTGAATCGAGGTGGAGGGGCAAAGTCCAGATTGTCAAACGTTCCTGATTTCCGCAGTGCAAACCTAAAAAAGGGAATCAGTATCCGGTGGATTGGTCCTGGGAGAGAGAATGGGGGCGGAGGAATGTAGTTCGTGGGGAACCAAATGCACAAAAGGGTATACTTACGGACTAGGAATCACCGAAAGCTCATCAAACGCGGAAGCCAGGGGGGTGTGAGCCCTACTTCCCGGGCTAAAGGGACGCATTCCACCCAAAGGCGTTTCGGACCGACCCTCCCGTTGGTCTTTGAACGACTTGCCGGGGGCAAAGTCCATAGCGGTCATGAAGGAATCATCCTTCAGCATGTGGGGAGTAGGAAGATTCTGAAGCGGAGCCGGCGGTTGGATGGGCCTGCGCGGTGCTCGCGGCCCGGGCATCCGATTAGATGCCGAAGAAAACGCACGCGGGCCTGGAGGCATGAACTGATCGCTGTAGCCACCCAAGGAGCCACTGGCCATATGCCGGGGTCCTCCCTGGAAGCTTGGAGGGGCGCGCGGGGGTGGAGTCATAGCACGACGCGAGACCGGCTCAGCAAACGGAGCTGGGACGGGATCATAGTACTCTTGTCCCGAGTACGGGTCATAGATGTAGTCACCCTCGGGATCCGGGTAGAAGTCATTCCCGTCATCTTCGTAGACGGTTTCCCTGTTTGCCTTGCTATCGTCGAAGTACTCCTTGTAGAAAGAACGGATACGGTTGGCTCGTTGCTCGGGGTCCTCTGTTGCATCCTCTGGGGGCAAGGGGCGCAATCCGAGGGTCATCCGGCGAGTATTGCGGCGAGAATCGGTGTTCAGCGTCTGCGCTGGGGGTTCTTCAGGTACGGGCGGAACGGGGGGGTGGTCGGAAATCTGCCCATGACTGGTATCGTTGTCAACACCGTGGATATTGACGGCAGGAATCGACGGGTTGGACTTTGTCTTATTGTCATAGTCGCTTCCCGCATCACTCAAGGGCAGTGAAATCCTGGGGGTTGGAATGGACGTCGTGTATAGATTCCCGTGCTCCGGCTCAGGGTGGTTCGGTGGGGGATCATGCGACGGTAGGTTGATCTGCGGAGGAGGCGAAGCCATTGAGCCATGGAAACCATCCTCGTTCACCCGCTGAGTATTTGCCGCGGCGCCAGGTAAGTGGGCAGGGCTCGGACTTCGGGGAAGACCGAATTGGAAGTCCAGATCCGCCGCTTTATCATTGCCGTGCACCGGACTTTGCATGCGGGGTTCTGGTTGCTCGCACAGGGGCGGAGACGAACGTGACATCCGCTGAGCATTTCCAAGTAAACCTTGGTTCATATCGTCACCAAGCGCGCCGCCCCCGAGGCTTGCCGTATCATCGGGATAACCCCTGGGTGGAGGTTTCTTGCCGTTGGGAGGGAGAACAACGGGTCGATACTTGTCACCGTCCCTACTGATGGACCGGGACAAGGAATTGAACGATTCTTGAGAGCCATGCAAGCCGGGAGGGAGGAGATACGGGCTCGGGCCTATATCCAGGGAGATGCCTTTGGTGTGGTAACCCCCGTTTCCTTTTTCGGCCTCTCGCATCTGCATGGAGCCTTTTGTAGGACCCAGGTCCATGCCAAAGTCAAGAGACCTGTGCTTGTCATTGGCATCTTCACTCCGGAGCTTCTTGGTGTTCCTCCGGTGCAGATATATCAACACGATGATGGCACACACAATAGGTACACTAGGGACTGATCAGTGACAGAACAGAGACGCGGCGAGTAGCATCAAGAATGATGAGTACGTAAAGGGTGAGGGAAGAGACTGGGATCAGGCGTACACTGCTCCTAGCACAACAGGCAAGGTTGTGGTTGTTGTTGTGCTGGTGGGCTTTTCACAGTCCCCGCTACCACCACCACACGTCGTCTCGGATCTCTTCGCCATCGTTGGACTACCGGCTTCCACGATCAATGGCTCGGCTTGAGTTGGCACCACATCCGGTTGCTGCGGCAGGTCTCGTGCGACCCTATGCATGCCATGGCGGGCAAAGTGATGGTTATGGTGGTGCATGATTGTCCGGGGCCGCTGTAAAGCGCTCCAGTCGGGCCCGGGTAATAACACGAACGGCAATCAGCCACCGGGTGCTTATTACCTCCGAGTCATTTAATTCACAAGCAAGATGCCGACAAAAAGAACCAGGTGAAAGGCAATACGGTACAAGTTGCAATTGACGATATATGGACGGGACAGATTCGGGTTAAAGAATATGAGGCCCAAAGGGAAGGCGGATCAACGTCTCGAAGCTTTTGAATAAGGAGTGGAAGGGAACTGGGGAGTTCCTAAAAGAGTGGCAATCGA